TAAGAACGGATATGTAAACTACCAACAACTATCACAAAAATTTTGAATATTGCAATTTGCTTTCTAATTTCCAACCTGATATAAAAAAAACATGTGAATATACTAGCAGCTTACTCAGAAGAAACATCACTAATTGACTTGCTAGATCCATTCTTATATTATCGTGAGTAATATATGTGCATTAAGTTTTCATCTTATCACCATTAACATTAGCTAGGGTTATGTCCTAGGCATAACTATCATCCAAATGCAGTATGACATTCATAATATGCTTCCCAACTTAACATGGAAATAACATCATATTAAGAAAATAACATCATGCATCGTCATCAACAATATAACGTCATCATAATACATCATAATCATCATAGAACATCATTAACCATCATTATATAACTCATATACATCATCAACACAAATCTTAACCAAATAAAGCAGCAAATCTTAACCAAACAAGCTAATGGTTTGTTTAAAGTCATTCAAAGCAAACCATGCACTATATGCCAATGAGTCTGCCTTCTCCCTTTTTGAGCTTAGTATTGGATTTAAGTCTGTTTCAGCTGCCAAACAAAACCATTAGCTTGCAAGATTTATGTCAATCTTACTATTCATGGTTTGGAAATACCCTTAACAAATTACTAGTTTAACTATTCCTTTGAATTTTTAACATGATCACAGAATTTTGAATAATGAACCTGTCGTCATGATGGCAGATCTGATAGCCGCTGGACTCCATTTTGGATAAAGGGTTTTGAAAAGACCAACGATGCCAGAAATATGGGGGCATGACATAGAAGTGCCCGATAATACATTATATAGAATCCGGCGTTTATCAAAAGGTGAATCAGTTGGTGATGCTTCGTCAGAGAAAGCCGCTAGTATATTCACACCTGGTGCTGTTATATCAGGCTAGAAATTGAAAAAAATAAAATAAAATAAAGATATATTTCAAATTTTGTGACTGTTATTAGTTGACACGTTGAACTTTATACTACAAAATTACTCAACACAAATCTTAACCAACCTTGAGTATTGAGGGCTCAACTATGCTCGGACCTCTTGACGAGAATGAAGCCATAATTGGTGCTGGTTTGATTCCAACTCATCTTCACGCGAGTCATGTAAGTCATTGGAATTCTTATTCAACATAAAATGTGACATATAAGTTATAACTTTTGGGTCTAATAAATTTTTGAACTTACAAAATACGTCTAATAGATTCCTAAGCTTCTAAATTTATGTTAAGTTTATATTCAAAAGAGTTCGGGAATAGACGTGGAAGTTGATGGAATAAGATAGAGTAATAACTTAGTAGATCGGATGTATTGGTTGACTAATTCACCATCGGTATAGCTTAGATGTGAAGCAGGAAGTAAGTGCGCATCAGCCAAAAGTCCATCCCCACTTCCCACGTTATTAACAAGAATCATCCCTACAGCACCTGCACCTGCTTAAGCAACTACATTACCTTTGTCCACTCTTGCATCGAATTAAGGCAAACTACAATTTAATCTTTTACCTTTTTAGAATCCAAAGACCCTTTAAAACATAGTACACTACAAAATCACAATGGTCAAAGATATACATTGTATTGTCGCATATATATAGAAAAAACTTATGCAACTAAACATTATAAAAATGAGAGAATATATATAGCATAATTTAGTTCAAAATATACACACGGTGACATTGTTAAATTTTGCATCAAAAGAATTGATCAATGGATAAAACTTCTCACTTGAAAGACTTTCACGACTTTCACCCTGGTATTGATAATGAAAAATCATCGAAGACAAAATAAATGTAGTATAGAGCCATAAACTGAATCGATACGAATATAGAAACACGTATACGATACAATTTTATATGTCCAATGCAATTTACTATGTTTGAAAATGGTTCGATACTTACCTAAATACTTATATAAATAGTGTCAAGAACATAACTATATAGGACTAACTAGTGTCGGATAGAGTACCTTGAAGTGCCTCTTGTCTCCCAACACCATGTAAGTGGTAAAAAACCTGTCAATTGTGCTAGCTCCCACGGTTATCATACATGGTGCGACATTTTCGACCGTGCCTTTAGATGGTCCTGAATTTCTAGCAGAACAAACGACAGTGATTCCGTTCTTCATTGCATGGAAGGACCCTAAAGCTATTGGATCATCATAAAATTCTTCAGCACCTCTACCGAGTGAAACCGACAGAACATCAACTCCATCACTAATGGCAGCTTCAAAGGCAGCTAGAATATCGGCCATAAAACACTCACCGCCCCCCACTGGAGGCCAACATACTTTATAGGCAGCAACAAGGGCTTTAGGGGAACCCCCTTTTGCAGTACCATAACCATGCCCAAAAATGCTTACTCCTTTAACGAAATTTCCTCCCGCTGTGGATAAGGTGTGTGTTCCATGCCCATCATAATCCCTTGTTGTTTCATAGCTTGAGTTGAGAGGTCCCACGAAGGATGCATACCCTTTGTTGAAATATCGTGCTCCAATCAGCTTCCTGCATTTAAAATCATCAATTTTACATCTACATCACACGTATCGATACAAGCATTTGAAACAACGACTAACTAGAATACAAACACGACTAGGACATATCTATTATCATTTTTATATAAGAAGAAAATTCAAAAGTCGATGAGTTTATGCATTAGTATGCTTAAAAACATAAGATAAACGACAAGTTTAGTTCCTAATTTTTTTTTTTGTTTGTATTATATATATATATATATATATGAATTAAAAAAAATGTCTAATACGTCTCTAACTCTTATCTTTTTTTTTTATTAAGTTCAAACTTACAAGATAGCCAATAAATCTTGAAATTTTAATTTTGTGTCGGATAGATCAATGAACCATATGACGTTTATTTAAAATTTACAAGCCTACTAGAAAATAAATTGAATATTCACAGTCCTATTAAACATAAATTTTAATTTTATATCTAATAGATCAATTAATTTTTAAATATTTAAATATGTCAAAAAAAGAAAAAAACACAATGGAATGTTTCAAACCTATTACACATCATAATGCTACATGCGTCTAACAAATATTAGATTAATATTCACTTTGAACAACTAGTGTCTCGTGTTTTTCTATTATTCTAACAAAAGTGTCAAGAATACGTGCTTAACACATTAGTCGGATAAAATTGTCCATGTTTCTTAGCATAAAATAATTAAATAGAGGTGTGGTAACTTTAAGGGATTTGAGGTAAGGGACCTGAAATTTTGAACCGCCTTTGCAACTTCCCTTCCATCTTGTTGGGATAGGTCTATATCCTTCATCACTAAAGCTCTTTGATTCAGGCCAAACACCTATATTAATCCCAATTACAAGAAGAAGAAGTCCGACTTGTGTCAAGGTTGTCAATGATTGTAGATTCACCAAATCTTGAAAGGTTCCAAAGTGAGTCCGGAAGGAATTCTACCATCATTCTCAACTCCAAGAAAGTTCCATGATCGTGTTGTGTGCAGTTTTAGTCCTTTGTTTTCATATAATGATACCACGTCAGAATGCTCTACACAAAGAAAAGGATAAAATCATCATATTATTAAATTAAAAAAGTGAGACTCACTTGATAAGTATTAGACTTTTGAAAATTAAGCGGGTGAACACTTCCGACCTACAAAATTTTAAAAACTAAAATATGTCCGTTTTTGTTTTTGGAATTTTTCAGTGAGAATTCGAATGTTTCTATAAAAGTATGAAACCACATAAATTAGGAACAAATGAATCTGATTTTACAAGAAAGAAAATCAACAGATGAAACATTTTATCGGCTATATCTTCTGCAACTTTTTGATCAAGAACCGCTGCAAAGCCATTGATATGTCTATTGTATGAGTAAAAGATTGCTTCCTTAGTTGCTAAGACGATAAATCAAGAGGGAGAGTTAAACAAATCTACGTTACATCATTTAGACCTAAAAGCTTCACCCTGTTCCTAACACGGATCCAAGTAGAGTGTAGTGGGTTTGTGTTGCAAGTTGGAGATCAACAGCAGAAGGATTCAAGCCATGTGAATGTGATCCCAAGTAAACAATATAAGACTGCACAATATAAACAAAACGTTTCAATGTCTAAAACTCAGTTGATATAAACATTAAAAAGCATTTATAAGTGACGATTGACTAACCTTCTTGGCTGCAATGGTGGATATCTGCAACAGAGCAACGAGAAAGAATGAGAGAAGCAATGGAGGAAGATTAAAAGCCTCCATTTCTTTTTCTCTCCGGTTATACTCTCACATCCTTAGTGCCATTTTATAACGTTGATCAATGTTTTAGGTCCGGAATATAGGTATCTAATTCTTATAGATTAACCGGAAGGGTACAAGTGGTAAATCCGACGAGTTTCGACTCATATTTAGAGTTTTATTTTTAAGTATAGAAAGTGACGAAGAACAGAGAAGAGAAGATTTATGGTAAGGAAATAAAATACCTTCTTGTTTTATTGATATGTTTTAATTCTCAGTTAATCACCAAATGCTATCAAATTTAACTTCTCGAAATTAAAAAATGTGATTTTGTTAAGTTAATTTTAATATGAGCACACAATTAAAAAGGAAAAAAAAGCGAGAGATCATACCATTCCAATTCATATTGGTAGGTGGAAACTTGGCTCAATCTTCACAATCTGTTCCACCACCATGAGCTACACCACCTCCAGTGGCACTAGCCGCTGGAATAGATCCCACTACTTAGTTGATGTGGGATTCATTCCAGACGAGAATGCACGTCATGATGGTTACCCAACAAGCTAACATTTTGCAATTTGTCGAATGAGCGAATTGGCTATGGGATTTCAAGCGGTTCGATCTACGTCTATCTACCGGTTCTAAAAGAAATCCAATAGAAACCCAAATGGATCTTGTCTATGGAGACCATCTTCTTGTTAATAGAATATCTAGACAACCATAAAGTACCCCACCGGTCATAAATGCTGTAAAAATCTTGTGTAAAAATCGAACAGAAGAGCTCAAAGATGACCTATGCAAATCACACACACCCAAAGAGCTCGTTCCTTCTTTCCCTCTCTGTTTCACTCTGATCATCCGATGTTGGAGCTGTACCATTGAGAATTTGAAACTTGCGTCTTTCGGGTGAAGGGAGGGCCTTCGTTGCTAACTTTTTTGAAATGGGTTCTTGGAATGTTCATTGGAAAACGCCATTTTAAGTCACTTCAGGAGCCACCATCGGCCTGCATCCTTCTCAGAATTCACTGGATTGCAGTTGAGAAACTATGGAAAATCCAGCATCAACACCCCGTTGGAACCTCGAGAGGCCCTTTCTCACTGGGCGTTTCCACCAGGTTTCTATTTCTCCTCCCTTGTTTTTTATTCACGTTTATTATCTTCCGAATCGAACAGAAATGTATTTTTCTAAAGATCAATAGCGTCTATGCTATAGCATTACGTTATCTTCCGAGTTATAGAGGCTTAAATGGAACTTCTGCGATCGAATTACTATCAATTTCCACTTCTGGCATCATTTTAATTGTTCCTGAATTCCCTGTTCTGTAATGAGTTATGGTCATTGTAGTTTTAATTCTTCGTTTGGTCTGTTTTACAGAAATTGAGTTCTCATTTTGCGGTTTTCTCTTTTTGTTTCGAAAATTATACCCCAGGAAGCAAAAACTACTTCTCTTTTTTCTGAATTAAAGTTGGATTCCTTCAGGTAAGAACAATCTTAATAATTGCATTTTTAGCTTATCTAGTTACTCCTTGAGTCCGAGTATCATTCCTACATGAAACAATACTTATGGTACACTTTAAAATTCGAATGTCTCAGCAATGGGGGGCTGGAAAAGGCCATAGGCTGTTATGATACTGCAATTCAGGTATGATATAGTTCGTCAATTTGTTGTTCCTGAATTACTTGTTCTCTTACAAATTTGGTCGCCACGCTTCTATATGTAGGAACTTATTGTAATTGATGATCTCCTCTCTGCCCTGCTTGGAATTGAGGGACGCTATATTTCAATTAAAAGAGTTCATGGAAAAGAGAATGAAATTTCTTTCCAGGTTGATGCATCTATGGATTTGACTCTTCAGGTAGAAATTTTGGAGGCCTGAAGTTACTACAACTGTTGATTAATATGTTAATGAATAAAAATTTGATCTCGAGTCTCTAACTATCTTGCTAATTTTCTCCGAGTGATAATTAACTTATTTTTAGCTGGTGCAGAGTAAGAAAAAGAAAAAGTTGAATGAGACATCAATCAATTGTGTATAGTGGATTACGAACATTTTATCTGATTATGATGTTTGCACTAAACTCTTCTTGTGCTAATTAAGGCTACTATTGCAGGAATTGGCAAAAAGAATATTTCCTCTGTGTGAGAGCTTTCTGTTCATTAATCAGTTTGTTGAATCAAGATCTCAGTTCAAAAAGGGCTTGGTTAATCATGCCTTTGCTGCGGCGCTTAGAGCTCTCCTTCTGGTAAGTGCTTTGTTTTTGTTTTTATTTTTTAGCCCTGATGTAGAAATTGTATTCATCTGAGTAAAATTGGACAAATGTCTTTGTATTCTTTCCATTCTGTCAGCAAATCCTTACAATGAAAAAAACATAACAATCCATACAAAGTAATGGGAAATAATTTGTGGAAACAATACATTAGAATCACACAATTCCTTCCTTTTTCTATTTCTTGTTTTCTGTTTTTTTTTTTTTTTTTTTTGGATGAAAAAAACGACTAGCATTAAGAGGGACTGAGAGAATATACAAGAGCAATACAAAAAAGGAAAGCCTAGTCCAAAGGAGTCAGAAGGACTACCAAAAGCAGAAAAGCAGAAGAGAATTAGAAAAAGGGCTCCAATTTACAAGATAGGTAACATGTGTAGTGTTAAACCCTTGCCATCCCTCACTTCTATCACACTCCAATCTTTCAAAGACGGGATTAAGTATGATGTACTCAACCCTACCTCAGGTGGCTTAAGCAGCCCTTGTAAGAATAAGCATCTCCTAAACACACACGGTACTACCTAGTACACACACACAAATAATCACTCAAGGAGAAGAAGAATGGACTAACCTTGGTGGTCCATGTTTGATGACCAATCAAGGTTGAATGTTTTCTAAGGAACGTGCAACCTAAGCTAGGATGCAACGTGTTCTCGGTTTGGAGAAAAGAGAGGAACCCTTTCTGTTTTCATTTCACCATAATGTCCAACTCCTCAAATTTACAAATGAAGGCTTAACCTCATATGATTGGTCATCTAAAGAAACTAATAGCAACTCAACAAAACCCTAAGCTACTCTAATTAAAATAGAGTTTAGTTACGAGTTGAAACCTTCTCAAATGGGCTAATTAACACTTGGCTCCACTCCTAAGCCTAATAACTATTAAATACATTTACACATGAAGTAGAAAAGAAGATTGCATGAGAACTACGTGGAAAACACTACTTCAGGGTTTTAAACCCTCAGTGGCGCTAATTATCCTTAAATGAAGCTTTTGGGTTGGTGTCTTCATGTTGTCTTAATGTTATTTTCTTCAACTTTCCTTCTCATGAAGCTTGATACTTTGAATTTTGGAATGGAAATCTCCTTGTTTTGCTTAGCCTCATGATATGATGTGCTTTGCTAGTTGCATATGAAAGTGCTTTTGGTGGAGCCAACCATTTTCAAACTTAAAGGTGACAGGACCTTATAGAAAGACATCCTTCACTAAGAGAGTAGGAAAACGATTTAGGGTTGTGAAATTCCACATTGGTTGGAGAGAGGAACGAAGCATTGCTTATAAGAGTGTGGAAACCTCTCTCTAGTGGACGCATTTTAAAGCCTGGAGGGGAAGCTTGGAAGGGAAAGCCTAAAGAGAACAATATTTGCTGGTGGGTAGGCTTGGGCTGTTCAAATGGTATCAAAGCCAGTCACTGGACGGTGCGAAGCGCTAGTCAGAGTAAGACTAGACCCCCTCTCCATAGCAGACACGTTTTAAAACCTTGAAAGGAAACTCGGAAGGGAAGCCCAAAGAGGATAATATCTACTAGCGGTGGGCTTGGACTGCTTCAAGGGTTCTTTCTTATAACGTTCTTGGAGACCCTTCATTCCTGGAATCTAGAGGAAGACTTAATATTGGAGCTAACAGCTTTTAACTTGTTAGACACCCGTTAATAAGGCGTGTGTGAAAAAGGAGGAAGAAACATAGGGACTGAAAATAGGGTGTAGTTCCTAAGTAGTTATTTACTTATGCTTCTTGTTTGGAACTCTTGTCTTGTCTATCTTTGTTAGTTGTTCTCAATCATAGTTTATATTGCAAAGATTAGTATCAGAACTTAAAAGGAGCTATGACCCAGGGAAGGCACCCTTGACTAAGAGAATAGGAGGATGATCTAAGGTGCTTCCAACTTTCCTGAAAACCTGGAGTTCTGAATGAAGAAATCCATCTTTATGAAACCAAAAGTCTATTGGTGAGTGTTTTAATAGGTTATCTACAGCCAGATTAGGTCTAGAGGTCAATAGACAAGGGGATTTCTATCACAACAGGTCATTTATGCGTTTATTAACGTTCTTCTGGTAAAATGGCCCCCATTAGACTTTTCAGAGGGCCATCTACATGACATTGAAGTCTCCCTATAGACTCCATCAATCTAAGCACAACCCCAGCACGATCCAGAAATCAGTCCTGTTAAGATTCAGGTCAATATGTTACTTGTAGTCCACCCTACTGAATCATCAAACGAAGGCAGGTTAAGAGAATTTTTTTATGCATGCACCATGCACTACCTCGGTAATACATCACAACAATCCTCTCTACACACCATAGTCTTTAGTGTAGGTCTAGCCAATGCTTCCAGCTTGAACCCATCAGACTTAGTAAGCCCCCTTAACTGCCTCTTTCCGTTTTGATTACTAGAGGAAGACGATATCTGGATTTAAGGTTCTAACTTCTAAGAAAGTTTTTAAATCAGATGCTGGATAAATGGTTCACTTTTAAATTTATAAGTTTCTCTAACACATTCTCTTTATGGTAATTGTAAAAAAATTGCATATGTTTCTTCTAAACCACAGTTTTTGACTAGGTTAGGCATTGTTATGGTGAAGATTTTGCTGACTTGCTAATTGAATGATCAACAAGGAATTGCGTGTAATACAAGTGTCTCTCTTGTATCCTCATTAAGTCATTCCTGTGTATGTTCCTGTATGATAATGTCTGAGCTCTTGAGGATCAAATTGGATTTTACGAACAAATGTGTACTCTTATTCCATAAAAAAAAAAATTACAGTGTATGATTACGAAAAAGGGACCTAATTTTGTCTTATGATTAACATGTTTGTCAACAAGAAACAGACTTATCGTTTGAAAAGTTACAAGTAACAGTAACAGCTTATAACAACAGAATTATTGCTCAAGGGAGGAGATCCAATACACCTCGGAGTAGATTGAACACTGTCCTATAGGATTATGTTTAGAATCTGATAATAATGTGTTAGGTTTAGAGTTTCAAACTATGTTGAATTGAACACTGCATGTTCTAATTTAGTTCTGCTGTTATTCCTTAGGATTATCAAGCAATGGTAGCCCAGCTTGAGCACCAGTTTCGACTTGGTAGACTTTCCACCCAAGGATTGTGGTTTTACTGTCAGGTTTGAGCTTATCTTAATTTCTTCAAATTCATTTCAAGCATACCATCTCACGTTTTATGCTATGACACATTGCAGCCTGTGATGGGTTCCATGCAAGCATTATCTGCTGTGACACGAAAGGTCTCGGCTAGTGATATTGCAGGTTCTGCGGTTCTTAACCTCTTGCAGAGCCAGGTACAAACTTGTACTTATAGTGAATGTATTTTGTAATCATCAGAATTTCTCAACAAGTTTTGTATCTTTAAGGGACTTGCCTTGTTTCTAGTAAAACCCTTGGACATTGATATTTGAGCTACTGTATTATGCGATTAGATGTAGGTTGTTGGCACTTGCTCTTTTACTGCCTCTCCTTTTAGTTTTCCTTTTCCTTTTCCTTTTCCCCCATTTTTCTTTCTTGAAGACATGTTTTATAATGAAAAAGGATTTTAAAGGGGAATACATGATCAGAATTCAAAACTGTTGTTTTATGCTTCAATATATACTATGTTAAATTTATTTTTTTCTGTATATAGAGTGTGATTATATGTGTAAGATTCTTTTCTTTTTATCCGTCTTTCTTCTACTCAAGATAGGCCCTTGTAATCGTTGTGAATGAAAAAGAATTATTCTATTTAATTCCTACTCTATCTTGATATTTAGCGTGTTTCAGACGAAAATAAAATCCTAAAAGTACCTCTAACCTAATTCTAACCCAAGCTACCATCACCCTTCTGCCGTCGCTGCTGTTCATCACCCTGGTTATACTGTCAGTCATCCAAGTCAGAGCAAGATGTTTCTTGATCCCAACCACACTTACCCTGATGAATCAGAGAAGGTAGGAAAGAAAGAAAGGCCATTGAGAGTAAGAAGATCCTCAGGCTATTCTCGATACAATGCCCATTAATCAGTTCCCAGTCCCAGACCAAACAAACAAAACCTATCAAAAATGGAGCCTAGTTTAAGCTGTCAAACAAATAAATGAGAGAATGGAAAATGATGAATATTTAAAACCACTTGTCTAGGGCGGCCTTGAGAATTGGGGGGCCAACGAGGCTGGGGACAGTTGGTAAGGGATAATGAGTGGTTGTGGTACAGGCAGGGTGAGGGGTTGAGTCGGGATTTGAATCAAAACTCTATAAAACGTCGAGAATCTAAGAGTTTTCCCTACCTAGGCGACCGTATAAAGAAGAGGTGGAAAAAAGTTACATAACATAGTTTATTTATTATTTTTTCTTTTTTCTTTTTTTATTTTGTCTTTCTAATTATTTAGAATCTATTTAATAGATTTATATGTTAAATTAATTATTGTTTATAATAAGAATATTAGTTTTTACAACTCTTGCGTTGTCCAATGAATCCGTTTATTCCGAATCGCGGGATAGAGAGACAGATGACGACGGCAAGAGTGGCTTTTTCAGCCATCTCATTCATGGACAGAAGTTTTGGGTAAAATCAAATGCACCTGGACGACGAAGAGCTTGGAATACAATCTAGAGGATCTGGTAGAAGAATGTATGGGTTTGTTAGGAATAGATAGTTGTTGTCTGGACATACGAGTCACAGCCGGCCGGGAACCGGGAAGAGGAGAGATTGTTCTGCTTCGTTCCTAACCATTCAACCTGCTCCATGGTCCGCAAATCCAATCCAACCACTAGTTAGAAAAGATGTTTTTCTTCTATTGCAGCTTGCGAGGAGTCACATTCATGAGAACATGAGCTTTTTCTAGTTCAAATAATCAATTTTGATAACCCAAGCCATAATCTTGAAGCTTTACCATCAATATAACAGAATCAATAGTTTGTTTAACATTTATTAGAGCTAACTGGAATTTGAAAACTCTAGGACATTTTCTTATTCCATTTGCTGAAACTTAATCCAGATTTTTATTTATGATCTTGACCTAGTGAATGACAATTCACTCATATTGGAAGCCTTGGATTTTTTAGGAATTAGACAAATGAGGTGTCTTCTTGAGACATGCGTTGGAACATTCAGGAAATAGAGTCTTAGAACATCATGAGTATATCGTCTTTAATGATGCTAAGTCTTTACTTTTATTGTTTAGGCCAAGGCTATGGCTGGTGATAATGCAGTGAGGTCTTTGCTGGAAAAGATGACACAGTGTGCAAGCAATGCTTACCTTGGTATATTAGAAAGGTTGGTTCTGGCAACTGCTACAAATTTTTGTGCTATTCGAAGAATTGAGCTAATTGTTTTTAATAATAGTTCGCCAAATTTCTTCCCTTCTCGCCAACAAACACTGTCATGCCCAATCCCAAAAAAGGGAAGAGAAAGAATCCATTTAGTTACTTTATCAAGTATCTATTAATGAACTTGGACTTAACTTTTTCTTGTTGATGGTTTTATATGACTTATGGGACTAAAATAATTAAACAACTTACTCGAGAATTTTTAAGGTGGAGACATCTTGATGAGGTTTAGTATGCATTTTGTATAGATTGAGAAAAAAGTTGGGATGTTTCATAAATTACTGCGTAGTATGCATCCAACAAGGCGCCAACCTATTAGCATCCAAAGTTGAAAGTTCTCCTGCTATTTTTATGACATTGCTTTCTGAAGGGGTAGGGGAAAATATCAGTTGCTTTTTTATTAAGAACTTTTGCCCAAGGTCCTTGCTGAATCTCATTAGAACTTACCATCCTTAATTCTCCAATTTCTATCGCAACATGGTTGCTTATTCCCACAAATTATTATGAACCGCAATCCACTTACCCAACACGTAAGAGTTCGAGAATTCACTTTTTCTGAAAATTTGTTGTCAAAATGGCCAATTACCCCCCCCCCCCCCCCCCCCCCCCCCCCCCCCCCCCCCCCCCCCCCCCCCCCCCCCCCCCCCCCCCCCCCCCCCCCCCCCCCCCCCCCCCCCCCCCCCCCCCCCCCCCCCCCCCCCCCCCCCCCCCCCNCCCCCCCCCAGTTTTGTGACCATGTTTTTCCATTTTGTTATTAATTGATCAGATTGCTAAGTATGCATAAATTTTAATTCAGATGGGTTTATGAGGGAGTAATCGATGATCCTTATGGTGAATTTTTCATTGTGGAAAACAAATCTCTAAGGAAGGTATGGAGCTTTCTATCATATTTTAGTGTATTTGGAATTGTGGTTCTCATGGGTATGAAGTATGTTTTTCTAGGAGAGCCTCTATCAAGATTATGATACAAAGTACTGGAGGTGTCGCTATAGTCTCAAGGAGGGAATTCCTACATTTCTTGCAAATATAGCAGGAATGATATTGACGACAGGAAAATATCTAAATGTCATGAGAGAGTGTGGCCATAATGTTCAGGTTTATTTATAACGTTTCTTAAAAAAAAAATTATGATTGCAATTATTATATTATTTGGGTACTTTATAAAGTAATAAAAATATATTTATTTTAATATCTGATTTTGTTGCCTTTTCAGCTACCTGTTTCAGAAAATTCAAAGTTAATGAGTTTTGGCTCAAATCATCAATATTTGGAGTGTATAAAAGCTGCTTATGATTTTTCCAGCAGTGAACTATTGAAACTTATTAAAGAAAAGGTAGCATTCTATGAATCCCCTCTTTGCTGGTTCTTTTCCTTATTTTCATCCATATTTTCTTTAAATATTTTTCTAGCTTTCATCCATGCCAATTTCTTTACAATAGTGGAAAAATTTGGTATTTCCCTGTAGTATGACCTGGTGGTGAAGCTGAGGTCAATTAAGCATTACCTTCTGCTTGATCAGGTATATGATCTTTGATTTGTAAACTTACGCTGTACTCTACGAACCTAGGAACTGATATGTGCTTTAGATTTCATTCCATTTTGGTTATTTTATTCCTTATAGATAGTAGTATTGAATGCTTTGAAGTATTGTATGCTTATAAATCCATAAGAAATATCCTTCTCTAGTTTAATGAATTTCATTAGTGAACAAATTGAAGCAGTAGATTCAATTTTCCTGTTGGTCTGTCTTCCTGAAGAACTAGCATAATGTAGCATGAATCAAGTCAAGGAATTCAATTCTTTCCTTTTTGGATAGGTGGACTCATTATTGAAAAAGGCAAAATTTTCTCATGAAGGCTAATCACAGGGTTCTCCTGATTAACCTGTATCTAAGCTTTCCCATATGTGGTTTTTTCTTATTTATGTTTTGTTAGAAACTCATATTACATGATTGCAGGGTGATTTCTTGGTTCATTTTATGGACATTGCTCGAGATGAACTTTCAAAAAAGCTTGATGATATTTCTGTAGAAAAGTTGCAGGTTTGATCCTAACCTCTCGAGCTAACTTTTACCGATTATTACCTAATGAAAAATGTTTGTGTATCAATATCAAATGATATGCCTTCATGGCTATCTAGTCTCTGCTGGATGTTGCCTTACGCTCCACAGCAGCTGCAGCAGATCCTTGTCATGAGGACTTAACGTGTTGTGTGGTAAGCTGATTGCAGTTTATTCTTTGTATGATGCAGAAAATACCAAAAAGCTGCATGTTTCCTTCATTTCTAAACATATTTTCAGGAAAGAATGTCGTTGCCTAAAAGCTTGCGTGCACTTAAGGATCTAGTTGACAGTAGGACTCTTCCAGGCATCAATGATGAGGAAGAACCCATGGGCATTACTGGCCTTGAGACATTTTCTTTGAGTTATAAGGTAATTTTATCAATTCATGTTTTTCCTTCAGTGTTGCTTCAAGCCTAATTTCCTTAGCAAGAAGTACGAGTTGTATTTTTAAACCAAATTAGCTACTATTTCATTTCTGAAATAATAATATTGGTCAGCGTTTTGGATGGTTCAAACATTCGCCTGGGCATCCCAGCCTGCTAATATTTATCCTAGGCATAGTTCACGTTATCAAGCCTGAAGGCCTGTGGCCTTATCCAAGGGCCAGTCCCTTTGGATAATATCTGGATTGAAGTTTCCGATCAGCTTTCTTTATCAAACTAGGTTGAGCATTAGTTTGCTAAAGACAATTTAAAGAAAGCAATGTTATAAAATAAAAGCGAGTAGGCACCAACGGCTTTGATAGCATATAACTTGGGTAAGAAGAATTGATAACTAGTTACATCCCCCTATAGTACACTTTGGGGCATTTTAGCCCTGGCGGGTGTAGACATGATTTTAGTGATCGGTCATATATCGTATTGACACAATAATAATAGTAAAGGTTTATCTAACATAGAAGCAAGAAAAAGGGGTTTAGAATGGACATGCGGCCATGGACAACACATCTTGAACAAGCATGATCGGTACATCCGACATGCGGCCATAGGCAACACGCCTTGGACAAGCATGACCTTGACATAGCGCATACAAAATTATAATATATAAAAGGTATTGTATGATTAGAAATATGCAACTAGATTTTTTATTCTGAACCACTAGGCATTCGTAAACTAATATTTGGCATGAACTAGTATCGATTTTTTTTATTTTCATTTTATCTATATTTTTTGTTTGTGTTTATTTTGACTATTTAATGGGGGCTAAATTTCAGGTCAGATGGCCCTTGTCTATAGTTATATCATGGAAATCTCTATCAAAGTACCAGCTGATTTTCCGCTTTCTTTTCCACTGCAAGCATGTGGAGCGCCAGCTTTGTTGGGCATGGCAAGTACATCAAGTAGGGCTTGGTTTTCTCTTTTCCTGGTTAGATTCTCATTTAGCTTATACATTTTTCACACATAAATAATGGTCTTTGGCAGGGTGTTCTGTTCGTTCCCTTAATATCAGTGGTACATCCATCTCAAGATCATCGTTACTCTGTCGTTCAATGCTTAAATTTATTAATAGCCTTCTACACTATTTGACATTTGAGGTAAGTTTTATCTTTCATTAAATATTTTTCATTGTTCAAAAACAATGCTCGCTTTGAGTACCTAAGTGCTGGTTTTTCTTTGAATTTGTAGTTACTTTCTTCTCCCTCCTACTTAAGCATGCTGCTGAGATAAAATCCTATTCTATATGTTTGTAGCCATTATGTTTTTCCCTGACCGTAACCTTAGTTCCCATAACCTATCATCACGAGTTTTTTGGTTTTAGGTTCTTGAACCCAATTGGCATGTAATGCACAACCGGATTCAGACTGCAAAGAGCATTGATGAGGTACATTCCCTTCTGTTGCTTATATTGGAGGGATAAGTCTTTTATCATGTGTTACTGAAGTGGCTATTGTAAGTATATATTTGATAAGCTCCTTTGATCAGGTTATCCGGCATCATGATTTCTTCCTTGACAAATGTCTCCGAGAATGTTTGCTTTTGTTGCCACAGTTGCTTAAGGTCAGTTAATGAAATATGTTTTTCCCTTCAATGTAAGTAGATTGGTGATAACTACGTGATCACTCTTTTAAAAATCGTAGATATGAACACCCCTGGGTCTTGTTGATATGCAGCAAGTGACTTCATTCACATCCTCCCCTTTGTACTTAAGTTTATCATGATCTTGGAGAAATCTGTTAGGGATTTTCATTTGAAAAAGGTAGCCTCCTTGTGAATTGTAAGTTCTCCTCCCTTTCCGTCTTGTTCGGAGGGCTATACATTGGCTCCCTTAGAGCGAAAAACTCCCTCCAGTAATGGTTGTTGAGGTTGTTTCTGTTAAAAACCACGAACCTCCACGATGGTAGGATGTTGTCCACATCGAGTATAAGCTCTCGTGGCTTTGCTTTTGATTTCTCCAAATGGCCTCGTACTAATGAAGATAATATTATTTACTTATAAACCTATGATCTTCCCCATAATTAGCCAACGTGGGACTCCCTCCCAACAATCCTCAACCGTTTCCAAACGGAGAGCATTTTATTAGCAGTAAATATGGGCCAAAGACTCCGGTTGTCTGTCTTTAAGTCCATGAACAAATAGAGGCAATTGTCTTTGGTCTTAAATTATAAATCACAAATTGTTTATTCTGTTCATTTGTTGTTGGGATCTTCTTCTTCTAATATTTTCTGTGTGTGCAGAAAGTGGAGAGGTTGAAATTACTATGCCTGCAGTATGCAGCAGCTACACAGTGCTTGATTTCATCCTCCATTGATGTCTGCAAGTCAGAGGAATCGTCCAATAGCTTGACCCGTTCCGAAACATCCAAGCAATGGAATGGAAGAACTCCCAAGGGAGCGATACTAAGCGCCTCCAACTCGACAGTCACCGAGTCTATCCTGTAAGTTCGTAACGAGCAGCTAGTTACAGTTATAACTCGACTCAAAATTTCTTGTACTCACATTTGTGTTGCACATGTTGCAGTAAATTTGAGAAGGAATTCAACTCTGAGCTTCAGAGTTTGGGACCACTTCTGAGTAAAAGCTCCCAGGCTGAGCCATATTTAACTCACCTTGCTCAGTGGATTCTTGGCATGGAAATAACAAATAGGTTCTAAATTTCTTCCCTAACTGCAACTTTACAGAATTGATTTCATAGAGGTCTAGAAAGCATAATGTTTTGATTGCTACCGTTCGCTCGGTATGTCTTACACTTTCTAGGAGTCGGGTTTTTTTACATGTCGATGTGCTTTATTTTTACTTGTGAGTTGTTAGAAAGTTAACAAAATTCTCCCCTACCCACGTAATCTTCCCTCTAGAACGGTACTCTCGTGTTCCTCCCTTTTGGTGATCTTTATTAAGACGGTGAAGACTTTTCTTCTGATGTTGACAAATTCTTCTTAGATGCTCTTTCAACCGAAAACAATGCAGTCGAACCTTAAAATCATTGATTTCGAGATTTTTTTTCAATGATTACTACTTGCTACATGTTTTCATCGTGAATCTTGAACTTGTTTACCATGGTGAGTGATCAAGCAAAGTACACATCAACACTCTCACCCTCTTTATTTTTTTCTTTTTGACATTAATAAAAAAAATTATTAGGGATGAATAAATTTGGGTCGTATTTTAATTTAATAATATTAACCAGAGAATTGTTATTATTTTTAATTTACAATTATTATATACTAAAATTTAATGAGTGAAAATAAAATTTTATTTTTACATATTTTAAAAAGAAAAGCCACGTATTTGAGATATTTGAAAATTTTTGTATTTTTCAAATTTCTTTTAAAAAAAATCATTTTTATAAATAATCAAGGCCCATCTTCAACCAATCCAGCCCAAAGGCCCAATTTTTTTTAAAAAATTATTTTCATAAATTATCAAGGCCCATTATTCAACCCATCCAGCTCAAAGGCCCAATCCCATTTTATTTTGTTTTCAAAGAAAAAATATGAAATTGTTAAGCCCTAGGACGCCTTGTTCTTCCACCTTCCGTCTTCACAACCTCGTTTTCTCCTCTTTTTCTTAGCAGTTCAGTTTGCATTATCCCACAGCCTCCGCCGCCGCCGCAGCACACTTCTTCACGGACGTTACACCCTCTCTTGATCTCAGGTATTCTCTTTATTTTTCTTTCTTTCAGTTTCAACTTTTATTGCTTACAAATGGATGAACCTCTGCAAGCTTTGATCATCGGTTTTGAGTTTTTCCTGATTTGAAATTGGATTATAGTATTTTAGAATCCGGTACTGTTCTGGATCAATGTTACTTATATTATAGTATTCTAGAACCAATTCATCGTTTACATGAAAATTTTTTGACATTCTGAGGAGCGCGCCACTGAAGTTTCTTCAGATTATTTACGCCTAAAATTGTGCTGAACTACATCGTATCTGGATTTTGTTGTTTAATTGTAGTTTTTGGGTGTGGTTTTCAGTGTGGTAACTCAGCACAATTCGATAATGCAGCCGACCGAAGCCTCCACTTCTATGGAAGTAGAAACGGTCTCAACCGAAACAAAGAATGTGGTTAGCACATTGCCACCGAAACCACAGTTTGATCCCCTAAAGCCACATGAGATGAATGATGGACGAATTCAGTTCCGAAAGGTCTCTGTTCCTCCGCATCGCTATACGCCTCTCAAGAAAGCATGGATGGAGATTTACACCCCAATTTATGAACAGATGAAAATCGACATCCGAATGAATCTCAAGGCGCGTAAAGTCGAGTTGAAAACCAGAGCAGACACACCTGACATCAGTAACTTGCAGAAGTGTGCAGATTTTGTTCATGCTTTCATTCTTGGGTTCGATGTTATCGATGCCATTGCCCTCCTAAGGGTGGATGAACTCTATGTTGAATCTTTTGAGATTAAGGATGTTAAAACGCTACGAGGCGAGCACTTGTCGCGTGCCATAGGCAGATTGTCTGGTAAAGCTGGTAAGACCAAATTTGCCATTGAAAACGCCACGAAGACGAGGATCGTTATTGCAGACACCAAGATTCACATATTAGGATCCTTTGCAAATATCAAGATTGCAAGGGATTCTCTTTGCAGCCTGATTTTAGGGTCCCCTGCAGGTAAAGTTTATTCAAAACTAAGGGCGGTTACAGCCAGATTAGCAGAAAGGTTTTGATCTTTCATGATCATAATGAGATTCATGCTGAGTTTGTCTTGATTAATGAATTTTGCATACACTAGTTGTCTGAGGAACAGAGTGTATCTTTGTCGAAAAGATTGCACATTGAAGAAGTTGTCTCATTAAGTAGCCTATGTTCACAACAATAGGCATCAGGTGATTGGCCTTTTTCTGGGTTTGTTTTTTCTTGTCGATCGAGGTTTTTGTATGTAGTCGATGTGTTGATTGATTGATTGATTGATTGATTGAAAGCCTCATTAGATGAACGAGTTCTTTTTTAATAATTTGGAACATCGAGGTTAGAAGAATATCTCTTGACCTTATTCTAATAAAAGTTAAACCTTGCACAAAATTGTAACGGCTTGATCATGTTCTTATTAACAGCAGAGGCAGAAATTTGAAATAAAGTGAACATGAAAAATGAAATAAACATACTATCATACTATCTACTACTAAATGAAAATTAATGCATACTATATAGGAGCGATTTAAAGATAGTATGTGGAAATATAAAGGTAACCATCGACTTAATAAATCCAAATATTAATAAGTCACTCAATTATTGGAGTTAGTAAATGATCGAATCAAATATTAAAAACTTAAATTAAAAAATATGTCATTGCTTGGATTATAATCCAAATATTATTTATTTTGGTACAACTTTAAAAAAAAAAAAAATCGACTTATTACAACGACCTCTTCTTAGGCAATCCTTCCGACCCGAGAGTTGGGATGAGAATTTAGTGGAAAAAGGTTTGAGATTGTTTTTCTTGTTTAAAAAAAAAAAAACTTAATTTTATATTATTTGAGATATTACATTTTTATGTATGAACAATGTTCGGGTTAAATTATAATAACGTATTTAAGTATTAATTTTTATTCTAATAAGATAGAATAAATTCAATAAATTTAAAAACTAATTGATTTATTAAATTAAAAGGCTAAATTTTATGTGTAATCCTACTTTGAATAATTTGAAATGAATTATGAGCATTGCAACAACACAAATTGGCATTACCTTAACAATAAGTTCAGTTCTCTTCTCTTCTCTGTAATTTCTTAAATTGGGACAATCACACACTCCAATATAACGGACAAAACAACAATACCTTATTATAAAATGCAAAAAAAATTCAAACAAACAATTCATCAAACAAAAGCCATGGACGTCTCAAATTTTGCTTCATTTCTTTTGATTCTCTTTCTTTTTTCTTTTCTCCAAACATCTACCATTGCCACCAAAAAGGCAAATTCTTTCGTTTTATTTCCCATTTCCAAAACTCAATCTTTGTTCCATCTAATTCTCTTTTTTCTCATGCAGCCATACATCGTATACCTCGGATCGCACTCTCACGGATTGAGTCCTTCCTCGTTGGATCTCCAACTTGTAACAAAATCCCATTATGATTTACTGGGATCGGTGTTGGGAAGGTGAAGCTCTTTCGATTCATCGGCCTTGGTTTCTTACAATGGTTATTCTCACTATTCGTTGTCCTTCTCCATTCATTGTGCAGCAAAGAGATAGCCAAGGAAGCTATTTTATACTCATACAACAGATACATCAATGGCTTTGCCGCAATGCTCAATGAAAAACAAGCAACAGATCTTGCAAGTAAATTGTTCATATGTTTTTGAGTCAATGGGCTATCAACTTTGTCAAATAAGCTTGAAACTGACGTTAAACAAATATATGGTAGGAATTCCAAACGTGATTTCTGTTTTTGAAAGTAAGGAAAGACAATTGCACACAACAAGATCATGGGATTTTCTTGGACTAGAAACACAAGAAGCAGTTCCTTCAGACTCTATTTGGAATGTCACGAGGTTTGGTGAAGATGCAATTATAGCTAACATTGACACAGGTTCTGTTTTTTTTTTTTTTTTTTTTTTTTTTTTTTTTTTTTTTTTTTTTTTTTTTTTTTTTTTTTTTTTTTTTTTTTTTTTTTGGTTCTCTGTTATTGTTTTTTGTTAGGACTATGTTGGTGTTTTGTTTTTCTATAACCTCATCCAATTGGAACATAGGTGTTTGGCCAGAATCTAGGAGCTTCAGTGATGAAGGATATGGACCTATCCCTTCAAGGTGGCTGGGCAGTTGTCAAAGTGGCGCTGACCCCAACTTCCATTGCAACAGGTCAAGAGCTTCAATTCATCCAATATATATCTCGTTTTCTTTCATTATGGTGTAGGAGATTTGAAATGGATACCTTAAATATGCAGGAAGCTAATTGGAGCAAGATCCTTTAACTTAGCCAATGGTCCACTCAATGGCAGCTTCAATTCTCCAAGGGACCATCAAGGCCACGGAACCCACACTCTATCCACAGCTGGGGGCAACTTTGTCTCTGGAGCTAATGTTTTTGGCTACGCAAATGGAACTTCCAAAGGTGGCTCACCTCGAGCCCGTGTCGCGTCCTACAAGGTCTGTTGGGAAGCAGAAGGTGGAGGGTGTTTTGACGTGGATATCTTAGCTGCCTTCGAAGCTGCCATTGGTGATGGGGTTGACGTTATCTCAGCTTCTCTTGGTGCAATTCCCTCAGACTTCCTAGACGATGGGCTATCTATAGGGGCCTTTCATGCAGTTCAGCATGGCATCGTTGTTGTTTGTTCGGCTGGGAACTCAGGACCAGCTCCTAGAACTGTATCAAACGTGTCGCCATGGATGTTAACCGTTGGAGCTGGTACCATTGATAGGGAGTTCACAAATTTCGTAGTCCTTGGGAACAAGAAGAAACTCAAGGTACTTACTTATATCAAACACAACCTAAACTTAGAAAACTTGAATGAGTTCTACTTTCTATCTTAACTATGTCCCAACTATCAAAAACCAGGGTGCAAGCCTTTCTTCTAAGGCATTGAAAGTTGACAAGTTCTACCCTTTAATCAATGCTGTGGATGCAAAAGCAAACAATGTCTCCGAACTTGATGCGTGAGTATTTTACTCCATTTTTGCAGAAGATCAGAAGAAAATGAATGAACTAAGAACAGACTCAGCAGAATTTCCAAATAAACTTATACTGAATTCTTACAGGGAAATTTGTGAGGAGGGAACACTTGATTCCTCCAAATTGAATGGGAAGATTGTGGTTTGCCTTGTTGGTGTTAATGCAAGAGTGGCCAAAGGTTATGTGGCTGCTCAGGCAGGGGCTATTGGGATGATCTTGGTTAACGATGAAGAAAGTGGGAATGAGATTAAAGCTGATCCACACATCATTCCAGCATCCCATGTAACCTATAATGACAGTATAACCATCTCCCAATATATTAGCTCTACAAGGTAACTCCCAATGTTTCCATTTTTTTTCTCTTCCAAAGATTGTTATTTCCCCTGCATATTAACATATACTTGATCAGGACACCCATGGCTTACATCAGTTCGGTAACGGCAAAGCTCGGTGTCACGCCAGCCCCAACCATCGCTAGGTTCTCAGGAAGAGGCCCAAGTATAATCGAGGAGTCAATCCTCAAGGTTTCTTTTTCTCATGCTTTAAAACGTTTCAATTCAAATGCATGCTAATGTTGTAAAGATAAGGAAGATCATTTATACTAACAAGTTATGTTATGTTTGAGATCAGCCAGATATAACAGCACCAGGTGTAAATATAATTGCGGCTTACCCCGATGGAATACCATTGGCAAATCTACCTGTTGACGATCGTCGAGTTCCTTTTATGGTATACTCTGGCACATCCATGTCTTGCCCCCATGTTTCTGGCATTGTAGGCCTTCTCAAAACCCTAAATCCCAAATGGAGTCCAGCAGCCATTAAATCAGCAATTATGACCACAGGTTAAATCATATACAATCAAATAAAAGCATCAAATCGAAACAAATGTTGATGCAATTGAAATAAATTGAAACAAATTTCCATGAATTTCATCTCTACAGCCAAAACAAGAGACAGCACCTTACATCCAATTGTCGACCTCGACGGAGTGATAGCAACTCCATTAGCATACGGCGCCGGACATGTTCATCCAAACAGCGCCATGGACCCTGGCCTCGTTTACGACATTACAATCGACGAATACCTAAATTTCTTGTGCGCTCGAGGCTACAATGCAACGCAAATCAAACAATTCTCAAACAATACATTCGTTTGCAATAGATCATTCAAAGTGACTGACCTTAATTATCCATCCATCTCAGTCGCGGATTTGAAAACAGGCCCTGTGACGATCAATCGAAAGGTGAAGAACGTGGGAAGTCCAGGGAAGTATGTTGCTCGAGTAACGTCGCCCTTGGAAGCTTCAATCGTGGTTGAGCCGAGTACATTGCAATTTACCGCCATGGATGAAGAGAAGAGCTTCAGGGTTGTGTTGCAGAGAAGTGGAAAGGGAAATCAACAGGGTTATGTGTTCGGAACATTGGAATGGTCAGATGGGAAACACAGTGTTGGAAGCCCCATTGCTATCAATTTGGGGAAATAGTTTCAAATGCTAAAGGATTTAGAACAATCTCTTATGAATTTGATTGTTCATGGAAAATCACAAATTATAACTAATAATAATCATTACTAATTATAAGTTTTGAGTAAATTTTCTAAAAGTTTTCATTTAATTCTTTTAAATACCTATAAATATTTTCATTAGAAACCACTCACTGGCGTGTATACATTGGTACATTCCTTTCCATCTCTATGATCATAACACTGAATATGTTAACTATGGTCATAGCACGTTCATCTTAAATCATGCCTTCGTTTTTGAAATATTCTATCGATCGTGGTTTCCTAATGTCCACTTTTATTTATCTGGTTGAACGTGCTAAGCCTACTTCGTAAGCTAGTCTATGGAATCTATAACCTAAGTAATGATACCAACTATAACGACCCTATTTTTCTAATGAAATAGAGTCGTTACTATATGCATGACACGACGGTTAACTGTGGAAACATTGTTTTAAAATATTTCGAAAACGAAGGCATGGACTTACATGTTAAAAATCAAATCCTTAAATCGATACGAAAACATATAAGAAACGAGAATAGACAATATATTCAAAAACTAGAAAATAACACATTGTCTTGCTCTAACCTAAGAGTATAAGATGAAATGCAACTACCCTAACACCGGTTTCATGGTCTTCACGCATCACCTTCATCATTCGTATAGAGGTGTTTTGCCTTTACCTAAAATGTAAGAGTAGCACATGACTTGAGTATTTCTTAACTGACTCTAATATTGGGGACGTGAAACACAAACACATACAACATGGTGAGACTTATCATGGAAAACAAC